AGCGATGCCCCGGCTCGCAGGGGTGGGTGGGACCAGCTTCTGCAGGCAGATGCCAACACAGGATCCTGCCTGGGTTTATATGGAATGGGAGGGGCATTATGCAAAAAAAAAAAGGCAACATCTTTCTGAACTCAAGTGGAAACCATATGTATGTATTTATTTGTGCAGCTGAGGAGCCAGGATCTCCTCCAGGCTCCAATCTGAGCTGGCCAAGGCTTGGAGGCTGGAGAAATGGGGGTGCAGCCATGGTCTGGGCCAAGCAGGGGGGGGGACGGGGAGGAGAGGCACCGTGCCATGGGTATTGCTGTCCTTGGCACAGGGCAGAGAGGCCTTGCCAGGTTTGCTGTGCGCATGAAGACTCACTTGGGGGGCCAGCCTCAGTCTTGGCAGGCCTCATCGTGAGCCAGCATTCAAGGCAGGAGTCTGCTCCCAGTTCTGGGGATCAGCAGTGGAAGAAGAAATAACACAGAGCTGCTTACAGATTGAGACAGACCTCTGCCCCAGCATTGCCTCTTCTTCTTCTTCTTCTTGGGTGGGTGGGAGCTTTCTGGGATGTGCATGCGAAACCTCTTGCATCTGGATTCGAACTCTGGACCTTCTACATGCAAACAAGGGCCATCACTCGTGAACGATGAGCCATATTCTAAAGGTAGGGGCCTTTATAAACGTATCATCTTCTATGGAGCCAAACTGCCCAGGGGGTGGACATTCGGACCTCTGGATGTTGGTATATGACCCTCTCCCCTCACCCCTCACCATTGACCTAGAAGGCAAGGCATGATGGGAACCGGAGTCCAATGGTGTGGGGAGGTCCACCGTTTCCCGTCCCCTACTGTCCCGGGTTGGCAGCCGCTTTCCAGCTTCTCCTGCAGTGGGAAGGATGAATTTGGTGACCCTTGAGATGAAACTCTTGCCCTCTCTTGCTGTCAGCAAGAACCAGAGGAATCCCTCTTTTTCCTCAGCAAGATGGCTCTGTGTGACATTTTCGCCCCCCTCAGACATCCCTTGGCTAATCTTGTGAGATTTCCTGAAAGTTTTGTCATCGTTTTGTCCTGGAAGAAAATACCAAAACTGCATAGGATTGTAATACAATTCCTGCGCAGAGCGGCATTTTCGCCATGCAAGAGTCCCTGGAAAGGACAACACCCTGTACAGGATGCGATCGTTTCCTGCACAGGGTAAGCGGTGCTTTGTTTTTGTTTTTTTAAAAGGAACCTCATGAATTCTTCCTGGTGCAAAGTCGGGAGATCCTCTTTGACGAGCATCTCAGAAGCTTTAAGCTCGAGAAATGTTCAAAGTATTTGCCACACCTCTACTTGGGTCCCTTTCAAATCTGTAAATCTGTGATTTTTCAGAGATCAGTCATTGGGAAAGGAACGCTTTTGATAACAGCGATGAGGTATTTGTGCACAATGCAGTGCTGCTAGAAATATTATGCAGTGGAATATCCACTTCAATAGAATAATATTTTAGGCATCCTCTCAAAATATCCATGTATTTCCTCACTCCAAAGGCTCCTTAAATAAACTCTTTCTCCTTTCTTGGTATGGTAAGTGTCTGAAAATAAATACAGCCAAAGATTCCCCAGTTATTGTGTACTGCTGAGGCCTGCGTTAGATGGATATGTTCCTTCTTTCACATACTCCCCCATTAACTTACTTGTGCTGCTGGAAGTAGAATAATGTAGACAGTGTATGCATTCACTTAGCTAAGCAGTTAAGCATACTAAAATATGGTTGACTAAATATCCTTCCCCCTCCCCTTTCATTCTAAGGCATTTCCATGCTTTATGGATTCATGAGGACAAGATACATTGCTATATTGTGTGTTTATTTGGATCATGGTCAAAGCACAGCCAGCTTTGTAACTTTTAACACAAAGCCGAACTAAATATCTCACTGATTATTTTTTTCGGGGGTGGGTGTGTAGAAGATGCACAAAAAAGAAGAGGATATTTGATCACTTTTTAATGCGTGTTCCAAAAATGTACCATATGATCTTAATATTAAGGGTCAAGGGTAAGTGTTTCCTTCTATATATCCATAAAGCATGGGAATGCCTTAGAATGAAAGGGGAGGGCATTTGAAAAATGCCATGTTAAATCAATTTCAAGCCAGTATTGTTCTGGCGTGCCAAAGAAGTCTTGCATATACCTTGTCTTGGGAGAATTTTCACACTATAGCTTGTGTTACAACATGTTTCATGATGTACAATACATGTTCACATATGGGCCAATGTTCATTCCACAAAAATCCCAAAACGTCTTGTGATGAAGGCTGTAGAGAAATGAGTTCAAAGTCTGGATATTTCTCTCTCCCGTCTTCCCAGTTGAGACTAGTGTTCAATGTGACCCACAAACATTGTTAAAAATAAGTTGAACAATAAAACCATTAAAATCCATGCCATTCTTGATAAACATCAAAAATTTTAGCAGGCTAGCTTAATGAGATAGGCGTTCAAACAAATGAATGGGGTCAGATCCAGACTTAGTCATAATAGTTTTAAACCCACAAGACTGACATTGGCCATGGTTAGTTAAATCCCATTTATTTCAATGATTCTACTCTAAGTATGGTGAGGTCTGAACAGAATCCAGTATCATAAACACAGATGACTTGCTAGCCCATTGCAAAAATGTGGTCTAATAGCTCCCAAACAGGCCACTCTTGAGCTGTGTGGCTCTTCAGCAAAAAGGATTGGTGCCAGTTTTATTACAGGGATGTGCTTGTCCTATTGCCCTCCCTTGCATCTCTTAATTCTTCAAAGAAGTAGCAGTCTTTATTTTTCGCAATACCTGGATATGTGTCACATTATCAATGATAACTTGGCCCCTTTTGGTGTGCTCAGCACTTCAGATGCACTTTCCACTCCCCCTCCATTCCTGTGCCTTCCTGCAAGCGTGGTATGTCATTTCCTGTCAGTCCAACTTGCTCTGGATTTTCCATCGGTAACCACTAGAGCATTATCCAGAATTACTTACAACAGCTGAATGAGCCGCTTTTTGTCTGTGCGAGGAGCCAGGGGTGTTAAGATTACTTGCTCTTTATCATAGATCCTGGCTCTCTCCACGCGATAAGGAATGTTCAAGCCGTGCAAGATTATGCAAGATTCTTCCAAGGCAGGCAACCTCAATTCATTCTCTCTGTAAAACTGGTGTCCTTCCCTTTTAAGAAGCTATGCTCATGCACCTGTCCAGCCGCATAGCAAGCACAAAAAAATGGGCAGGTCATTAAGAAAGGTGCAACAACTGCAATGCTCATAGTCATTAAAAGTCAAGGCAACAAACTGCCAACCAGTTTTGTTCCACACCACGCAGTTTAATAGAGGTATTTGTGACTCAAATACCTCTTTGTTTCTTTTCCAAGTTTTAACAGAGAAATTCCTTGCAATGGATAGCTTACAGCAGGATGTGTGTTCACCATCATTCCCTCCCAGTCTCTCTCTGCTAATGGGTTTGCCTCCATGCCCATAGGTCCTGCCGTCTGCCGGGGTGGAACGCAGCGCCCGTGCTACAAGATCGTTTACTTGCACGATGCTGCCCGCAGGGTCGGTTTTACAGAAGCCCTACAGGCCTGCCGAAGGGATGGAGGAGATTTGGTCAGTATCGAATCACAGTCTGAGCAGCATCTTATACAGAAGATGATTGGGACCTTTTCAGCATCTGATGGAGATTTCTGGATAGGACTTACCAGGCAGAAGGATCCAGATAACAGTACCGAATGCCAGAACCTGTACTTCTGGATTGATGGGAGTGTGTCCACATTTCGGTAAGTCCACGCAGGCAGCAAGCAGAAATCAGATTCAACCCAAGAATTGATCAATTCATATCACACTGGCTGTTATGAATATTGAAGATTTGGCTTGATTGAATTGGTTGATTTGACTTTCCCCCCAAAAGTAGGACTTAGCTTTGGCTTAAACAAGGTTTAAAACAAGTAGAGATTTAAAATAAACTTACAATGATGAACACCCTTGAATTAAAAACAATTACAAAAACTTCAATAACAACAAAAAAAGTACAGTAGCCATCTATGGAAAGCCCCTTTCAGTGCACATTCAGCAAACTAAACCCCCACACACAAACAAGAAGATTTTTGCTACAAGAAGAGCAAGAGGCTCTTGAGACTGAACGATGCCTAATCTAAAATCTAAAATTCCACAGTCCACAAGCAGCCACCAAATGGGCCTTGTAAATTCATTTTTAAGAAGCAATCAGGTTTTTAAAAAATTTATCTCTTTCAAAAACTTATCTTGGTTGTCATTACTAGCCAGAATCCTATTGCCAGTTTATACTTCAGTAAGGGAAATCCTGTACATCTTGGCAGGAAATCACCACTCATAAATGAAGGGCTGGTTGTGTTCCTGATCATGGGCTTCTCTGACTTTTCAGCTGTCCTCCCTGCCTGGGCTGAATTTCAGGCACTGCTGAGCAGGAGACAAGAAAAACATCTCCTGGCCTGGCAATGTCCCAGCCCAAATTTGGAGGTCTTGAGAGCTCTTCGTGTTGAGATTGCCAGCGGCAGTACTATTGGACCCAGTTATTGAGTATATGGGTCAACTGTGCACAAGGCAGACTTTAGGTTCTTACAGCATTTGCCATTCTCTATGACATACATAGACCTGCCTTCTCCAACTTTCTATCCTGGAGGTGTTTTAGACCACAACTGATATCGTCCCCAGCTACCATGGCCAACATCAGAAAGGTGGGGAAGGCTGGAATGAAGAAATAGCAAGAATGGAAAGCCAAAGCAGCTGCAAAAGGCATTTGATGAATTCCACATTTCTCTGCTCTGAGAAATAATAACAATCATCTTAGAACTACTAAACAAAGTGGAGTTTGATCATGGACAAGAAAAAAACATTGACCTGATAGGTTGCTTCATTTCAACAGAAACTGGTATGCAGATGAGCCTTCTTGTGGAAGTGAAGTCTGCGTGGTGATGTATCACCAGCCTTCAGCACCTGCTGGCGATGGGGGCCCTTACATGTTTCAGTGGAACGATGACAGATGCAACATAAGAAACAACTTCATCTGCAAGTATTCCCAGGGTATGTTTGATGTAGAGATTAATCCAGTACTACCTTCCAGCAACCAAAGTTCTCCAAAAGATGCAGATTTCCCCCCTTCATCCCCTGGCCATATCTACAATGATATCGCTGAGGTCAGCTTTCTAAAAATTGCCCCCAGGAAAGGTAAAGGTGACATAGTTTGGAACAGCAGTTTGCCACTCACTCAACGTCACGACTGTAGAACGACCATTTTGAAATTGAAGCCATACTAAAGTCTAAAGTTTAATTATCAGCTTGATCGCCCTATAGAGAAGGGCCAGAATTAGAATCAGAAGAAGAATCAGCACTCTGCTTACTTCAAATGATTATTGTCTGGCCGAATGCCTAGAGTCAAAATAACCATACAGAGAGAAAGTGAAGTGGAGCCCAAAAGAATTGCTGTAGAGAGAGAGAGCTAATGTAACTTTTAAAAGAATGGGTAGACAGCTCCCTGTCTTCAGAGATTTACAGCCCAAAACCTGATATTAGCAATGCCAGTTGCATGTAAACTTTACATAAAAGTTGCATGTAAATTGAACTAGTAAGAAGGCTTGGGCTGAACTTTCACAATCTGGACAGAATAAGGAAACCATTTTAAAAAAATCTTTTACGTCAACATTTTCTGATTTTTTTTCCTTATCACATTGGCAATAAACTTGCTCTCGAAACTAAGCCTGTATGCGTGTCTCTGTGTGTTTCCCCTTGCAGAAAAGCTAACCATTGTCCCCGAAATGAACACCTCTCCAGCAGGTAAATGTTTACATTGGTCCGAGTGTATGCAGAGTGTGGTTTCTTCTCACACATTTAGAGTACGTTTCCTTGTCTCTTCTAAAACAAGACTTCCAGATTTGACCCAAATAATTATGTGTTGTCCTGGAAATGCACACAATGAAGCAGACGTGTAAATCCTTTGGCTTTATGAGCCAAGAATTCTCAGATGCCCTTATGACCACGTGCTGCTGCTTGTCAGGGCCAGGAATGGGAAATATTTCAAGGAGAAACAGAGAGAGGTGCTATAGGTCCTTCTCTACCTCTCGATGCTAGGGATTCAGCCTGGCATCATCTTTAATGCAAAAGGTGTGTTTCCCTGCTAAATCGTAGGCAAAGAACATTTCTACCAAAAGATGAAATTCCCCCTTGGGGGACCACAGGGTTGGGGCCATGCCAGCAGTGGATGTGGTCAAAGCCCAACGTTGGCACAGCCATCCTGCTCTCTCACACAAAACTGTGTTTTCTCTAGTATACACCCACAGCAAGGGGAACACTCTTGTCTCCAATCAGCCGTGGATTGGAGCTAAGAGCTTTTCCCTGTCTGGAGAGTCTGACATGGTAGAGGGAGAGAGGGGTAGAGAAGCAGCTGAGAAACCAGACTAGAAATCTCTGATGTCCTGCTGTAGATCTTTCCCATTAAATGTTAAGAGCCTTTTCTGTAAGTGCTTAATTATCAAAGTAGACTATATGACCCAACTGGTGTTTGTTACTGTTAATACTCAGATTTCTTTTCTAGGGGTTGTGACGGAATCCTTTACACTCACATCTCTGGAAGGACCCATTCAAGAAGACATAACTAGCAAAATCCTCAAAGAAACTAAAGGTAGATGTGACCTAGCATAATTTCCCCCATTTATTGCCATAAATTGCAATAAGGTGCAACACTACTCAGGGGATGGAAATGTTTCTTTGCTATTCGGCAGATATTGTTAAAAGCATAAGATTATTTGTGCTCATTCAGTCTGATGCTGGTTGGCCATGTCTTCTTCTGCCTCACCCCATCTTTCCAGAACTGAACTGAAAAGGTTAGAATTCTGGATGCAGAAAACATTAAATTTTTCTATCTGCACTCATAGGTCATGGCTTGTTCTTTTTCCCACCACTGAACTTTGCAACTTGGTGTTTTTCACCCCCCCAGAACCTGATTGGAGCCTTGTGTACATCCTAGTCTCCAGTATTCCTGTACTGTTGCTGGTATTGGTCATCACAGCCATTTTCTGCTTTTGTCTTTACACCAAAAGGCAAGTCACCATGGTATATAAAATGATGTTCTGTGATACATTGCCAGAGGTAATAGACTTAAGAGAACCAAGAACAGTTCCTTCAAGCGTATTTTAAGGCAAGGGTGCAAAAACGGATCTGGGCAAATCCTAGTTGGCAATTCAAGATTTCCCCACAACTTCCAAGTTAGCACTAGAAACCACAAGTTTGAAGCTAACTTCGAAGCACAAACCATCGTTGGCTGCTTCCAGTGTTCCCAACAATGACTTGCTTGAAACTAGATGTCTGTGAGGGAACTGAAACATACAAAGGCAAAAGGGTGTGTGTGAGACCATGCTTTAGTCATGTAATGCCAAACCATTGACATTACAGGTAGACCAGACAGATGTGCTTTATCCTGAAAGCAGGCTGACAGTTAATGTTCATTCAGGACATGCTAAGTATTTTACTGATCACATTCAATTCCGGACGTGAGTTTTATGCAAGTACTCCTAATAGCAATCCGTAGTAGGCTTTGTGTTGCTGGCACAAACAATACAAGGTCTCAGTTCTCACACAGGTGGCTGAAGTTCAGCACCTCGGCCAGCACCCAGTTTCCTTATCCTCCAGGTTTCTGCTGCTATTTGGCAAAGGTGTCCTCTAGGAACACAGGAAGCTGCTACATTACAGAATCCCATTGTTGGTGCCAACTAGCCCAGTACTGCCAACTCTGAATGGCAGCAATGGCATGCTAGGGTTTCAGGCAGTAATCTCTCTAGGCACTCCCCCACATATCACCAGTAGCCCCTGCTGGTTTCCTCTCTAAGGACTGTTCCCACTTGCGTTAAGGAATCAGACAAGGCCAGGTCTGCCCAGGATGGTGGGCGGTGTCCTTCTTGTTGCTAGTTTGTGCATGTTGCCAGGCTCAAATTCTACTTTGGGATAAAAGAAGAACATTAATTTCTGGCCTCCTAGTATTCTTGCCTACTTTTCTTCCCCCCATTATTCAGATCAGATTAGATCTTCAACATGAACTGCCGGACAGCTCAGTGGCGTAGGTATGGGTTGGGAGTTTGATTCCCCACTGTGCTTCAGTGATGCCTAGGATCCCTTCCAGCTCTGCAGTTCTAAGATTATAGGTTTTTAAAGATAATCTTAGTAGTAAAAAGATAATACCTCCAATACCCACCTTGAGTCCTTTAAATATTTTAAATAAAATAAAAAGTACTTGAAATGGTCTTATGAAGTCACAGCCTGTATATTACTATTATCTTCTCCTCCTCCTCCTCTTCCTTCTCCTCCCCCTCCTCCTCATCTTTTAATAGCAACTTTCTCTGAAATGGTACCATTATGTTAATCTCTTCCAAAAGAACTGTGACATGCTCCAGTGGAAGATAAGAAGATAATTAATAACTTGTGTTTTTTTTCCCCCTGCTCAGGAGACGGGAACAAACAGAGGTCAGCAAGAAGGAACACACCACCTGGGGGTCTCCTAAAAGGCAACCGAAAAGCCCCAGTCTGGAGATATATAACGTCATTAGAGGCCAGTCCGAAGCCGATCTCGCCGGCACCAGACCGGACATAAAGAATACTTCTTTCCGCATCCGTTGTGGAGAAGAGACTCCTGATGAGCTCTCTGGAGACTATGACAACATGGCCATCAATGCTTCAGAGAGTGGTTTTGTGACGTTGGCTAGCATGGAAAGTGGCTTTGTTACCAATGATATCTACGAGCTGTGCAACGACAGAGTTGGGAAAAGCAAAGAATCAACCTGGGTAGAAAATGAAATCTATGGATATTAAAGCAGACGGTGCCTGCAATGCCAAGCAAAATGGCCCAACCCTGGCCTCCATACAGACTAGCCCCTTGTATGCAGTGGAATTTTTTCTACATTCAACCATCCTGATGCTTATTTCCTGAATCTGAAACTTGAGGGAAGGTGTGTTTATATATGTACAAAGAGCTCCTTATCCAGCCAAGGAAATGGCCTTGTGCAGTCTTAGTGTCATCCCTTATCAGATGTACAATCTCTTCCAATATTTTGCTTTCCGCCCCTATTTCTGAATCTTAACAGCACGCACATACATCCCAACTAATTAGGCTAATTACCTAATCCCAGATGGTGTTTGTGAGTTACTGTGGTGTTTTTTCCCCTCACCACCACAGTTAAAAATGCTGTGTCTCTTGCCACCTGGATAGATCAGCTGCTTCGTTCCAGTCTTTACCTGTGTTGTCCTTCTGAGAACCAGCCATTTTTATACCAGGAAAGGTTTTTTTCCCCACAACTGTTGGTTTCTGATCATCTTCTCTACAGCATCTGTTTTTGCAGAAAGCGGTTGACTTTCTTTCCTCCAGTTCTCTCATCACACGACATTGAAATACATGCTGTCCAAACCCTTTAAAATGTTAAATATACAACACACTTTTAAAAAAATCACTCCAAGGAGCCAAAATATAAAGACTCTATGCAGACAATAGATTTATGACAGGAGCTGCTGCATCACCTAACTCATCGCTTCAGAAATGTACTGCAGAAGCTAAAAGAAAATGAGGAAAACCTGCATCTGGGGAGGGGGAACCCTACCCAAGAAAGTACTTTTTGAGTGGCCTTACATGCTGTTGCTGCTCAACAGATTCTGGGTCAAGTTTACTTGTATTCCTGGATAAAAAGCTTAAATGCTGGTCACTTAATTTTGGAGGAAACCAGTAAGCACCTACGGTCACATTTTTTGACACTTTTACTCTTTGAGCTACTGGCAAAAATGGTTAAGTTTGGCACAGTGAAGTTTCTATAAGTCCCAAAGTGGGGTGAATTGCTGCAAAAGGTAAGTGAATACAATGTGGACTGGCAATTGAAGGGAGTGTAACTTTTTAAAGTCTGCAGTTTTAGAAGTAGCAGCTGTGTTACTCTGGGCAAACATATCAGGCAAAATCAAAGAAACAAAACAACAAGACAAAAATGGTACTATCAAGACTATTACCGTATATTTTAATGTGTTTGTGGACAAGTACATTTGGTCAGGCACATGGAGGGAGCCTTTGTGTACATCTGAAAACTTTTAAAAAGTCTATTTTGATGGAAGCCTGTGCTGATCTATCACCTTATTGTCTTAGAGCCAAACTGATTGTGGCAACGGGCAATCTGTAATTAGGTCTCTTGCATGAGCTTTAAATGGTAAATGGAACCAGTAGAACCAACAGGAAGGAATTTTGAGCAGGACTGTCACCTTAGAAGAGGGTGGATTTCCTTTTGCATTTAAATAAGTAGAATCCTCATAGGAATCTGTGGCCTTAGAAACAACATCCCCCCCAGGGTGTCCATAGTGAGTAGAGGAAGGCCACCTCACCTAAAAATTGTAGGGTGAACACACACACCCACTCAGCCCATGGGTCATCAGTGCCTAGAAGTCATCCTGTAATTAGACAGACACATGGCTAATTACAGACCTGAATTTGTCTATTGTATATAACTGCTTTGAATTCAGTTCACATTTGTAGCAAGACGTTAATTTGACAAGAATTTCTAAAGCTGGTGTGTGTGTGTAATTCTTTAATGAGGAGAGAAGGAAGTAGAGCTTTGTATGCATTAATCCTCTTTTCTTATCAACATTTCTTGTTCCTTTGGTGTTTTACATTTAAAGGATTCAAAAGCAACTGGAAAGACTCTAGCACCGGCTACATACACAATTGATGGAGGCAGCTAGAAGCAAAGGGTCCTGAATCTTTCTGAATGCTTCACGTCAGAGCTTAGCACCCAGATCCTGGGTTTCTGCTGCCTAACGGTATACTTGCGAGTGATGGGCTTGGTGGCATGAGACGTAATTCTTCTTTGTTATGGAACATCCAACAGATTGTCCTTTAAATTCAGCTTTGTTTTGTTTTTTGTTTATTTTAAAACCATGGGCCTTAAGTGTGAGATTTTAACTTTGGCCTGGACATGACCCAAGCTGGACAAGACCTCAACCAGCGCCAAGAGCAAGTCTGATTTTATCTCTTGGAAGCACAATATAAGGTGGGAGAAAGAAAATGCAGAAAATGTAATACCATTCCCTTTGTAGTTGATTTGAGTTTCTGCCTCCCACGATGTTGGCAAGGTCACATTTAGAGGCAGGAATAAAAGAATGAAGGCTATATAACTGACACCCATTTCTTGACTGTTGAGATTTGTGAAGCCATCATGTTGAATGCCATACTGTTATTCTTGGAAATGATCACACCCAGACAACCACTGCATTTTCTGTTGCCCTGTTTAACGTTTGATGCTTGGACACTTGCAATTTCCAGTTGGTGTGCTATGGCTGCCTACACTACTAGCCCAAGGAAGAAGTTGTGAGTCAAAGTAAGACAGAGAAATATTTGTATGTATCCTGTTGTATTCTTTGACACACAAGAGATGAAAAACAGAAAACAGGAAAAAGTAGCCCTGCGATCCATGAATGGAAAAAAATTAAGAAGCAGGCTATACCTTTATGGTATAGGAGGGCCTGGCGTGCTCTGGTCCATGGGGTCATGAAGAATCGGACACAACTTAACGACTAAACAACAACAACAACAAATACCTTTATGGGTCACTTCAAATTTATAAACAACTTCAGCCCTTGAGTTCTCCATAATTTCTTCTTTAGGCTTAGATGATAATGTATAAAATTTAAGGTGAAAGGCATAAAGACAGAAAACAATTGTTCTGTTTAGCTGCTATAATGCACTGGCTCAGATTATAAAAACTTTTGTATGCCAGTGTGAGGTGATCGTATTCTGAATCTAGATAGCACCCACTAAGTGGTTTTTTAAAAAAATAATAGTATGGAGGTTCACACATATAGATACTGAAGCCCCTGGTAGTGGTTAACTTAGCTGCTGTGATGTCATGGAATGTTTATGAACATTCTTATTTTTTGGGAGAATGGAACTCTGGTTGATCCTCACAAACAGGAAAAGGTTTGCCTGGAATCTCTTCCCACCCCCACACTTCCTTGGTCTTAGGAAGAAAAAAAATGGGGAAACTGGAACGTGGGGAAACCAGGAGCAGAGTGGAGTGGAGAAGTGAGAGGGCAATGAGAGACAACCGAGGTTGTATACATACAGTACATTGGCAGGGTATTAAAAAGGTAAGGAGGGTAAGTAGAGTCAAGATAGCTAAAAGGATCCAGGACAGAGTAGAATATGGACTGAAAAGAAGATACTGGTAGCAAATGAAGGGTAGGAAACGTATGAGCTTGAAAAAATATTAGTCAAGAAAATGGAAGGGGAGCTACTGGTGTACCGAGTGGTATGAAGGAGGAAAATGAGCAAAATAACTTGTAAGGTTTGAGATCAGTAGATAAAGGTACAGGGAAATGGAACTTTACGTTGGTTTCTTCCCAGACATTATCATTCTGAGTGGTGTGCATGTTTGAATGTCCACACACACGTACTACAAAATGAATGTGCACTGCATGCTTCCCAGACATGTGATTAACTGTGGTGAACAGGTTATATGAACGATTCAAGCACAGTATTTATGTCTTGCACTTACAGGATAGGCAGGAAGCATTTGCATATATGAAAACCACCTTTGAGGGAAAGTCTGTGATCAAAAATGGGATGTATCTACAGGGTGGCTAATGCTAGCAGGAACATGCAGTTGGTTTTGGCGGTCGTTAGACACGTCCCAGCTTTGCCACTGACAAAACACCAGTACTGTAGTAGTAATTGCTTGAAATTCGCACAACCCCTCACTTAGGATTCAGTTGCCTCTTATATTATCCTGAACATCAATATTGCACTGTTGTCATGTTTCTCTTATGTCTGCTTGAATGTAATCCTGTGTGTCTCTAACCAAGAAATAAATTTATTTCAGTGAGGAAGAAATTGGTGGAACAAAACTGCACATTAAAATACGAATTCCTTTGCATTTGTAGAGTTTTCCAGGGAATTGCTGTTATCCTGTTGGAGCAGACACAGCAAAGAGCCTTGTGCTGGCTTTAAAAGGAATTTTTTAAGAAACCACAAAGGCAGCTGATGAAGTGGGGTGCTATCCAACAAGGTTTATATATTTTAAAAAATGTAAGGTACTACAAGGTTTTCCTTCATTGTTTTAACTTTGTGACGCATTTGCTTCACCAGACCAAGTCCTGAACACCCTTAAATTAGTCAGTGCTTCTTTGTGAATGTGTGAACTTCCCCTTTCTAAGATGATAGTGTTCATCTGTGATGGCTCAGTTCCCCATGCAAGTCAAACCTCTATGCTACAGCAAGCTGGATATGAATATGCATGCATGTATCAGCCCTGGGTTGCTTAAAGCAATGAGGCCAGGAAACCTGATGTACCACAGTCTGAATAATGCCGAGCAACGGCTGCCAAGTTGTAGGTGGTTTGCTGCCTTTTATCTTACCAGTCTTTGATCCACTTAATAAATTTAATTAAGCGGTTCTATACATTTGTAGATATTGTTTTTGAAGAATTCAAATCAATATACCTTTCTTAGAGAACTGAGTTTTAAAGTAGCTTCCTATTCATTGCATAATATGAACAGTCATACACAGCTGGAGGAAATGTGAAAAAGGCCCCTAACATCTCCAGACGTCACATGCAGCTTTTGACTTTGGGAAGCGTGTCCATCCTGTCTTCTAAAGACGGCTATTTGTCCCTCTTCCACATGTATCCAATTAGCAACAAAAGAGTATTTACAAAGTGCTTGGAGTCTTGTTAGATACTGACATGATTAATTCAGTGCTTAGAGCTTTTATTTCCTGTTATATTGAAGAGAGGTGAACCACAAAACTGAATTAAAACCAGTACACAGAAGCTACCAGGAAGCTGAAGTATGCCAGATCCTTTGGAATAATGTACACTGTAAGGCAGCGAAACAACCACAAAAATAACTGCAGGATGTTGATGATTCTCCTTCACCAGAACAAACACTTTGGCTGCCAGTTTTCTGGAGTGGAGCCCTATCATTGTGCAGCCGTTGGCGCACAGTTTTCCCCCACTGCCATTGGCCTTTATCCGTTTGTTGGTCAGCATCTTACAGTGAGTCTGTCTTTCCTCTTGAGCTCTTTTGAGAACTGCCTGTTGATTAGATCCTCCACGGTGCAAAACTCTTCCGAAAACTGTGGCCATATGGATAGGGGGCTTGCAAGCCAGACAGTCTGAACCCTGCTAAGCAGCAGCTGCCAAATGGCACCAGTTGAGTGATAGCCCTTGGCTGTCTTCCCAATCTTTTCTACGCTTATTATAATTTTTTTTTTGAGCATTTGGGTACACTTGCTCTTTTCTTACTTTTGTAAAAGATGTTTTAATTATTTCTTGTCAACGATTCCTGTTTGGCAAATTCAAGATAATCTGTTACTGGTTAAGGAGAACAGGAACCAAGAGTTGTCCTTGGAAAACCCATGATTCTGGTGTCTTTTAGTAATTGTTTCTGAGGCAAGGTCACAGAATTTTAAGGCAGTGCTGGTGACCTGCTGTCTGTGCAAAGATCGTATCACTAATTCATACAAATACAATTTTGTAGTGTGATTTCTACAATGGTGTTTTACAAATACTGTGTGCATGGAGAAGCAGGCTTGTAAATGTTATTAGAAAATGTGGTGCCTATTTTAATGAAAAGGCTATTGTTTTGAATACTGCAGGAACAGACAACAGAGAAGCTGCCCATATATTATGGGCACCTGGCAGTAGTCTAGAGTTCCCCTGCATTCAGATATGTATCTATCCATTTATTGTGCCCAGTACGACTCCTTGTTAGGCAAAAAAGGAAGGTCTTGACTCTGTTCATGCCTGGAATTCCATTTCTTCTTAGATTACAAAGACAATAAACTCAGGAGCCATCTTTTATAACAAAGAAAAAGAATGAAAGTGTACTGAATATTTTCCCAACACATCCCCTGCAAGTGCTTCCAAGCAGATACACCACCAAATCAACTGCATGCATTTCAGTTGGTAAATTTATTATTTGTTAAACTGCAGGTGGGCAACATTAATGGTCCACAAAGAAGGGTGGTGCATTTCTTCTTAAATATTGCATGCTTAGCAGGCAAAAAATAGGAATTCTTCCATTAAAACAGAGCTTACCATCTGCTTTTAAAGAAATTAAAGTCATATTTTTAATCTGTTGTGCTTTTAATCTAAGAATGTAATTCCCCAGGCAGATGAAAGTTTTAAAGGGATTAGTCTACCCACTTAATTGATTGAATATTGAATCTCTATTTTCATTATATGTTAGAAGAACAGAATGGTGATAATTGGTGCTTACTCTAAGGAGACAGATATCCAGTGTGGTGTCGTGGATAGAGTGATAGACTAAGACTCAAGAGACCTGGGTTCGACTCCCCTCTCAGCTATGGAAGCCCATAGATGTTGTACAACTCCCTTTTTTGAGAACTGCTCAAAAACCACTCCTTAAATATTTCAATTTGAAAGCCCTATTAAGTCAGTTCCAACTTGACAGCACATAATAACAATTAAGGAGACAGCTTGATTTGGATCATGGCGGAGGCAACAAGGAGGGAGTAGTTAAACTGAAGGCTCTGAAAAAAGTCGATTTTGAACATAGATTTGAAAGGGTTGATTGCAACTTTTTAACTTTAAGGCAAGAAATGGTCTTGGAATAAGGAGTAGCAAGCCAACATCCACGGGAGTGAGAAGAAAGCAAGGAAGGTGGAATGGCACCAGGATGGTTCAGAACCAAAAAGCATTTCCATGGTAAAACATAACAGTAGTTCACGAGGCAGGTACACTTGAAGATACTGATGCAACATCAGTGTACTGTATTCCAGGGTGCATAGCAACTGTAGCGTGTGTCTTCCCTCTGGGTAGCTATGGTTTGGTGGTCATCGAGCTATCCAGTGCTTTCATTAGAACAGGCATCTTCTGTTTGTGTTGCATTTGTTCTCAGGAAAGAGGGTTTCGATCAATTTTTCTGAGCATTTTATCAGAAAAAAGTTTCAACCATTTTTGTAGGGTGAAAGTAGGAGAGAGAGAACTTTGGGAGGCCATTTTTGCTCAGTCCCTGGAAGACCTGGAGAAACCGAAGCCCAAGGAAGAAAAATGAGTATCGCTAGAGGGCGCCTGTGTTTCGTAGTTGACATAGCTGGAGCCCCAATTTCCAATCCTGATTGTTTTGTAGCAAGAAGGTCATACTCTTGACCGTTCAAAGAGTTCTGGGTAGCAGTACTGCATTTGAAGACAGAAATTTCTGGATAGCAATAAAGCCACTTATGCAGAGTGGACTTAGGTCTTTTAATTTTCACATCAAAACCTTATAGTCTATTATTGATTTGATCCAGGCCATTACTTACGGACATGATATTATCTCACCTCACACAGCCCAGAAAAAGTACACTGATGGAAAATATGTCATATGACCGGCTAAAACTGGGCCCCACATTTTGATCACGCATTTTGGGCACCTAATTGGTAATTACCAATCAAGGGATGTCAAGTTGAATTGGATGCATCTAGAAATATGTACA